AACCTATAACCTTTAACAGGCCAACTCATGCTTCCCAGTAGCACTCTTTATGCCTACAAGGGGTATCCATTCTTTAATGTTCCATATATGCCTTGTTAGACTTTAAAATCTGGCAAACAGATTTTGACAAATGGAATAATTTCATTTCAGAGTTCATTAACTTATGACTTTTAGTGTTACTGCTAGGATTTCAACACCTGTATGTTGCTTTTGGATATAGACCAGACATCAGTATTTCATTGATACTAAATGCAAACTTTCCCTCTCACAAAGCTCACTTCATCTGAGACTCAGCTAAAGAAGGAATGAAAGGTCCATTCTGCTTAATGTTCTCAGTGGGTCCTCTCTCCTGGCCCTTGCAACTGCACACAGAAAACTTTTTATCCAGAGTATCGTTTTCCAATTTACCGACATCACTGATAATGGCAGAAGGCAAAGCGTTTTGCACATGGTTTTTCTTCTTTTTTCTTCTCTGCTCTGCTCATCCCCACCAATTTAACTCGAGTTGGAATAGCCCACAAAGAAACAAATTCTGTATTATAGGGTACAAATAAACCTAAAATAGAAAATATAAATGTGGTTTATTTGGGAACGTAGTAGATTTTCTTTACTTTGTCATGTTCTCTTGGCATTATTTGAGCTATTTTCTAGCACATCACTGGAAATGAATAAAAGCTCTTAAACTGTGTGAGGCAGGTCACAACTCTTTTCCTTCTGGCAGCAATGACAGAAAACCATTAGGATAAGGCTCGATTGTAGCTTCTGTGCTGAAATCGAATATTCAAAAGGCAAAACATTTAGCACACTACCCTTGTACCTCTGAGACCATGCTTTAAGTTTGAGGCCAAGTTCAGGTTTCTGTTAAAATGAACTTTCTGATCTTGGTTCCCTCCCTGGTGATCACTTGTCCACATTGGAAAAACTAAATGTTAAACCTGACTTTAAAAAAAAAAAANTGGTGATCACTTGTCCACATTGGAAAAACTAAATGTTAAACCTGACTTTAAAAAAAAAAAAAAGGAAAGCCTGGAGTGTCATTTTAAAAGATATGTTTCCTCCTGTACGAAATGAAAGTATTCCTGTGCAGTATTTATTGTAGGGCCAGAAGGACCTTGTTAAATGCCATGAAAGGGAGAAAGCATAGTCCCATGTTAGGAGGGAAGGTCTCAGAGAAAAGTATTATTTCTCCGGTGAACCAAATGCAAGTGTTTTAACAGATCAAAATTAATAATGAACTTGGTAGGGTCAGCCTTTCTACCAGACACAAAAATAATGGTATAATTCCATGTGATTTTTATTTGATTATTTGCAAGAATGAACCAATAAGCTGGTTACTGATTGGAACTAAGAGGGTCCCCCAGATCATTCACCACTGTGCTTGGCTAAGTGCCCAGCTCCCTATGCCCACACTGACTCACTTTCTTGCAAATGTGTGTTCACTATTTATCCATTTATTGAACAACAGAATATCCTAGGTATGATCCATAAAGATGTTAGCATGTCACATAGTAAATACTCAAACT